GATGAGTGGCCATCAAACTCACTAACTGACGAAAAGTCATCACATTCCAAAATTGATATTGAATCTGCGAGATCTCGGAACAACGGGTTGGCAGACCCCACAGCACAATTGTCGCTGGTATATTAAGATTGGCATATACGAAATTGGGGTACGTTTACGCAGCAAACGAACATTGCACGTTTGTGAGAAACGTCAGGTTAAGATTCTAGCATATTGCATGAAATCATCGATGACTAACTTTCTCAGGAGTCTATTGATACAATTTTTATAAAATTAGAATTCAGAAATTATTACATCGACAAAGAACATAGAAGGAGGAAGTGATTAAGCTCAGTTGCAGTCCGTAGACTCATTCGCGGTCAGAAAATCAAGACACAGTGGTACACAGTTCTCACATTCAATCTTAACTTTACCAGAGGAGGTGGTTGACTACTGACGTGGCGTAACTTTGCACGTGCTTATGATCGCAAATATAATTTCATTCTTACGCATAAACAAATACAGACACACGAACCTTAGCAGACGAATATGTTCCTGTATGGTGACTGCAGCTGTCATTTCGAATGTTCCAAAGTCCATTCAGGTTCCATGCACCGAGAGTTCCGTCTGAGGTCAGCCTGTCAATGAGCAAATCGGTTTCTCAAAGCACATCTGTTTCATGCTGATTCCAATGTCATTTTTGTTTTAATTGTTTTGCGTATCATTAAATTTCGCTGAGTGTCAAAACCAATAAATTACTACTTAACTTGTTGATCATTTATGCTCGCTCAACATGAAGAGTCAGCATGAATTGTATGCATATGTTTTGTCACGTTAGGGAAATAGGAAAAAAATATGCATATGCAGTGCAGGGTGTTTAATTGATTGCGATGTTGTAGTGTAGTTCAGTTCTTACCATGCATAAAAAGTGCATGGTTCCGTTGATTCTCAGAGACAATAATTAAAAGCAACTTCGATGGCTACGGTAGTTTCCTAAATTCATAGCAACAAAACATCAATTGAATATCCCTCTTCGCAAATTGCAAAATTTTCTGGCATAATAATGTGACAGATGCTTCTCTTTCCGTTCTTTCTGCTGAAATCATATTTACCATAAATATTTGGCTTGTTATCAGAAAGAAAGTATCTGTGTTGAAATACCTTACCACTTTCACGTTAATATTCCGATTCTGGGTCGTCAAAGGGAACGTATTACGACGTTGTAAGAGACTTAACATCATCTAAAAGAGCATTATCATGCATAATGTAAATCATCAGCATTATCTTCAGTTTATGTTGCATCTTACAAAGAATATCACATGTAGTGAAATGCGCAATTTTCAGGTATTGAAGAAGTTTCCCATAAAATACCAACTACCAGCAGTTTCATGAGGCCAGCAATATGCAACATTTTCAATGATATTCAATTTGCAATTTGCTGATTCCCAAGCTCAGGGTGCGACCTGTATGAAAATGCAAATTCCCGCTATTTTCACCAGGGACGCTGGAAGATAGCGTGAAATAATGGCCATTTAGCAGAAGTTGTATCATTGGAAATTTACTTCGAAAAGACATTAGCGGCTCTATCGGCTCTATCAATAACTGATTGAAAGAAAGACGGCTATAAGCTGGAAAGAATATATTTAGAGCATTAGAAATATACAGAGTAGTTTTTAGCACAAAGTAAGAAAGAATCTGACAGTCGAGGTTTCTAACCATTTCTTTCTAATTGCAAATCTATTGAAATTCACTTTATTTTAGATATTAAAATTTTCTCACTGGGAGCAACGGAAGAATTAAGGACTTAAATCTATTTGCACTGGCTCTCTTGGTTAACATATGAAAAAAGAATATGTTGGCGGTTGCAATCAAAGTCGTCTGGGAAACTTTGCTGCAATTTGTCCAGTCACCACATGCTCAGCAACATTCGCAACTTGATAAGCGGCGACACGATGAACCACGGCAAATTCATGCAATCAGTACAGACTTTTCTGTCGTCGTTGTCCAGGAAAATTTTGTTTTCGGTTGGGTATGAACTGCATCGTAAATATTGCCTGTCGTCTGAACTGCCAAAAACGACGTCGCAGAGTGGGTAGCAACTGGCGGTCGCATTGCACTAGTCATTCGATGCTAGCCGAACGACCGATTCTGCTTCTGCGATTAGCGGATGGAAAATGAGGAGAACCCTGAAGTTCTCCTGAGGAAAATGACCCGATAGCATCAGCAGTTCAGTGTAATGCCGAATGATCTGTACAGCAAATTTTGTGCAATCGTTCAGTTAGCTCATTTCGATGGCTCATCCTGTACTGAGTCGTTAAACAACACTGCACAAGCGAATCAGGCAAAAGGACGACAATCGCCGACTATAGAATTGCGTTGATCATTATGCCCAGTATGCATCGCCTTCACCTCATCCAAACAATATTCATTTCGACGTGGAAGACGACGCATGTCCGTCTACGTGACGGTCAGTTTACGAGAGTGTTCACTTCGCATCATGTTACACCCATGAGGATGCCGTTTAATCACATTATTTGCATTCTACACTAGAAAGAACAAGGAAAGATAGAAGGCAGGGCTACAACTTGTGCGGAAAATTCCTCTGTTAAATGAGCTATCAGGTGTGTCAGGACGAAGCGCTGCCTTGCAGGTTTTTCGTAATGGAAAACATAACTATACCTCTCGTCCATTTTCTTATGACAACGTCGAAATGTAGTGTAATCCCTGTCACTGCCAAATCACGGACCTACTATCACTTTTGCGACTGGTTGCGAAAAAGAGATTCAGGATAATTCATTTCAGAAGTGAGTTCAGGGTTAGGACAAAGATTTTCCTTAGATGAGATTCAAACTCGGTGCCTCCAAAGTTCGATGACGATCTCGTAGACACAGCGCCGCTACCTAAATCTCAACTTTCTTCTGAAAGCACGTTCCTGTAAACCCTAAAACGTGGGACACACAGTCAAAAATTTAGAAACACTGTGCAGCTGTTTCCTTTCTTCTTTATGTCGGTTCAAAACGAGTAAAATCCTCACGAAAAACAAACCTTCAACAGGCAAAATGGTCCTTCACGATATCTTCCAGTGTTTTGATCAATAAAATAGGTTCAAGCAACTAGTGCTCTATTACGTCATGAATCAGCAGTAGCCTAAAGCATAAAGTGACCACAAAGCAACCGCAAAATATCAACCGAAACTACGACGAAACGCTTTGGATCGTTGTTGAGAAAGAACCTCTAGAAATACATTAAATCTCTTCGCGAAGTGGCGAAGAATACCTCGACATCTTTAAGCGGTTGGAAAAGTCAAGACGAATTCAATGGACACGTGCACTGCTTTAAAGTGGCCACAGCACAAGCGGACATATCCCTATACGTTCATTAAGAAACGATTATGTGCATGTTCTGCTCAAGTATGCCAACTCCGCAGTAAACATAGATGAGGACACCAGTCCTGTATCTAAACCTCCTTCACCATCTAAATCAATCGTCTTCATTCACAAGTCTTGAATTCATCAAGAAACGTAGCACTGGCATCATTTCAACTGGTTTGTACTGACGTGATGAGTGCATACGTGAATCAGCATACGCGGAAAGTTCATTCCTATCAATTAGTTTAATAATTCTTAAATGTGTAACGAAACATTTTATTTCTTTAGTAAGTCAATTATGTTAGCAAATTTTGATTGTGTCTCCTCCGGTCCATAGTAGAAATGGGGACACATGAACTATTGCATCCATTGTCAGG